GTCTTTGTTATGACACCTTGACATAAACCATAACATCATAACCTGTCAGTGTCTTTGTCATGACAACTTGACATTAAATTAAGTTAAACTGTCATGTGGTTGGTTTTGATATTGGCTGTCATAAGGCCATTATAACTGTGTCATGAATATTTTATAATACAGTGGTACAAATTAAATTTGTCATTAAACAGTTATAATGGCTTCATGACAGCCAATGTCAAAACCAACCACCTGACAGTTTAATGTAATGTTAACCAATAAAGCTAAGTGGTTATTTAAGTTTGATAATTAATCTGCTATGTCATGTTTATGACAGGTTGTGTTGTCTTAGTAATGTCAAGTTGTCATGACGAAGACACAGACAGGTTATGATGTATTGGTTTATGTCAAGGTGTTATAACAAAGACATCTCAAACAATGTCATATTTGCATTAAAAATGTCATAATTGAGCGAATGACACTTAATGACAGTTGTCACAAACATGCATAAAACTTCCTTCATATTCATAACATGTGTCATGTCATGATTATGAAGGTGTCATGTTAGTCTTATGCACACCCCTTCAAGTAAAGTGTTACTAACTTACCGATCCGTTTCTTATTTAGCACCAAAACTTTGGAACAGTCTTCCTATAGTTGTTCGGGAAGCAGACACACTCTGTCTGTTTAAATCTAACTTGTGTTAAGCTTGTGTAAGCGGCCCCTAAGTTAATAACTGATGATACTTACAAAGGAAATTAATCAATTAAAAATGTACTGAAGCTGGACAATGACTTTCTTCTAGAGCTGCTCTACAACCAAAACAATCTTTGTTGCATTCATTTCCTATTATCACTGTAAAGCTGTCTGAAACAATCTGTATTGTAAAAAGCGCTATGAAGGTGACTTGACTTGACAATCCAATCAAATCTACAAATCTTTTTTAATTTGTGGTTTTACTCAGAAAAACATGACATAACAGAAGTGAAATGGGTGGCAAATGTTTGATGTTTTATGTATTTTCACAGCGGTGCTCATTAACATTGTAGCTGGCAATCCAGAGGAGGCAGATTTTAATGAATCCTCTGTGTAAATAAGAGATTTGTTATTTATAGGGATATATTATACATAAATATAAGCACTATATCTCTAAAAATAAAAGAGAAATCATAATATAACGACAGATTTAGAGTCATTAATCTTAAAGTTTTATTAAAGTTCAAAAAAGTAAAAAAAACGGGGGGTTTTCAAAATCATATGAAACAAACATGAGCAAATTTTTAAGAATTTTCTGTATCTTTTTGTCCTTTTATTCGTCACGGACACTCTTCTTTGTCATTGACAAGTTATAATTATGCATTTTGATTACATAATTCAATTTAGCACAAAAAGTACTCGGGATTCATAAGCAAATAGCTATATGCCCCATAACCCAGCTGTTCTCACACTTCCTCTGGTCCTCTTTCGCTGCTGGTATTCCACAACACAAGCTACTCCCACAGAGAGAGCACGGGAACATCTGCATCTTGTACATAAAACATCTGGCGTAGATGACAATAGAAGCACATCCATCTATGGGATTTACGCAGGGCTAGGGACTCTCACGTCGACGCATTCCTCCAAAGTCCTGCAGACAGCGGGCTAATCTGTCTGCGGTATGCAGGATCTGCTATGTCAACACACTGGCATGCCATGGAGAGAAACACCTTAGGAACCATTAATCACTTCAGGACCATATCCGCCCAGATGAGCGATGACAAATACAGGCACAAAAACATTCACCTTCAACTGGACAGACTGACAAGACAGCTTAAAGAACCCATTCTTGTGTAGATTGCAAACTAAACAGACCTACACAACACTGATTGACAATGACAACGCTCCAGATTTAGAGCTGTTTTAATGAGTGGAACCCACGTAAAACTGTAAAACAGGAAGAAAATATACCCAGTGTTACGTTTCCCTTTCGAAAAAAAAGAAAGAAAAAAGTCTGTACACTGTAAATACAGATGTGTTTCCGAAAGCACGCCCACAACAGATGAGAATACCACACGCCTCTGGCAGACACACTGCTCTTTTCAGATGCTAAATTGGTCTTCAGTATGGCTAAACAACACTTGGACTGTTGGCTCATTTTTATAAGCACTTTTGCCTCGTGCTTTAATATATCATCACGACATCATGATAGAATATTGTTCCAAAAAGTGCAATTATCATCTATTACAGCTTTTGTGTACCCTCATTGCAGACATTTTCCACTTAAAAGTGAAGTAAATTCACTATGGTTAATATTAGCCTAAATCAAAGCGGCCACAATGCCGGTGAAAACTGTAAACTGACTTCTCTTAGGTATATTAATAGTTCTTTAGTGGTTTGCACTGTGGGGTTTTACTGCTACGTGTTATTCACACTTTCACTCCACTCAGCCTACCACCTCTGCACAAAGTTTCCAACTCTCTATCTCTCTTTCCTTCTCATGTTTTATGACTTCCTGTTGCAGGATTCATCACTAAAAGTGAATAAACAAGGTTGGCCAAAGTGAATGACACATCCATTCATCTAGATAGATAGATAGATAGATAGATAGATAGATAGATAGATAGATAGATAGATAGATAGATAGATAGATAGATAGATAGATAGATAGATAGATAGATAGATCACACACACTCACACACACAGACACACAGATAAACTGTCTGACAACATCCCTGTTTCATGACTTCCTCTGCCTGAGGTTGTATATGCAGTCAGCACACAAATTTTGTTCAGATACTGGCATTACTAGAAGCACACACAGGTGTTCAGAGTGGGAGTCTGTTTACGCCCATGAATGAGGTGTCAGCACAGTCATACGTCTGTTATAACTTGTTGTCTTGGCAATGGGTAGCCTACAGTTTATGTTTGGTTACGTCATATTACGATGACATTATTTTGTGAACAGCACAATAAGAAAGGTCGTAATAATCTGTTACCAACAGTTAGTCCCTAACAGTAAAATGTTACATGGTGCTATTTATCCAATTTACCCCTTTAATTTAATGGTAATTTGTTTAATTCAGCAGTTATGGGATTACATTTTGGCTGTTTCAAAGTTAGACCATACAGTTGTGGCTTTGGATCAGGCTTAGATGACTCCAGGCTTCACATTATGAGAATCCTCACTGTTGAGGAATTGAAACCTGAAATACGTTCAAAATGTCACGAAAAGAAATGAAAAAACCAATGGGGAACCACTTATTGTCATTTTCATATTAATTTCATTAGCTCTAAGAATCATGAAATAACCTATAAACTTCTGATTTTGTTAGTGTTATAAGTACAGCATTAATATTCCATTCCCTCTGTATATAATGTTGAAATAAGTTGTCACCTTTTGAAACAGATTGGCTAATACTTAAATAAGGCTGAACAGACTATTTACTCACAATGATTAGCACTGATAAGACGTGGTGCAACTTGTTGGATCTCAGGGACAAACTGAAGAGTAAAATCATTGCCAAGGTTAAAAAAGGATAGGGAAAAAGATCTTATTTCAGGACGTTCTAAAACACGAGGGCAGTTGCTTCACTCACACAACAAATCAATAAACCGTGTTAGAACAACTGCGCAAAAGCTTTCAACAATTTCCAAACATCTTCCAGTAAAATTACACTGTGGTGGCTTGATTTTATTGCTTCTTTGTAATGGGCTTCATCACAGTTGAGAGCTAAAGGTAATTAACACAGATCTGCGCCCTGAAGCAACCTGCAAATTGCTTGAAAGCACTTTGAAAGCAGTGTTGCAATTGGGAATCGATGTGGCGCGTTCGTTTGCAGTCTAGTTCACACACAGAATAAAATAAAAGTTGCAGCCTTAAACTTCTAAGTACAATCAACTTGGATGTGTAAGTCATTTCAACTTAAATCACATGAAATGAGTTGAATCTTGTTGAACTTATAGTTGAAATAGTTGAAAAAAATAGTTGAAAATTGCTTAACTTAATTTGATAAGTCAAAGCAATGTAAAAACATGTTGTCATAACTATTATTTTTTTTACAGTGAGGAACAATCTCTGATAAGCAGGAATTGAAATTCTTCACATAAACCAAATCCCATTGTTCTCTTCAATGGCTCGGAGCTCTGAAACGGAACCAAGACTATTTTTGTCTTAATCTGAATTTGATTTGCGACACACAAGGGTTTTCAGTTTCAGAACTGAAAAAAGTCGACTCATCTGGATTTCTAGAGCGTAAAACTGGCTGAGAAATGAAGTTCTCTCAGGAGGAGATTAGGTGACTAAATGTTGTCTCAGTGAGACACTGAATATGAGCTCCAGTCCAGAAGACCAATACATTTATAAAGTGACATTGAATTTCACTTTTAAATATGAAGGTTCCAAAAGGGGGTTTTGACAGTGATGCCATATAGAACCATTTTTGGTTCCCCAAAGAACCTTTTCAAAAAAAAAGAACCAGTCAACAGTTCTAAAAAGAACATTTTTTTTTTCTTAATGTAAAGAATATTAAAAAAATCTTAAGAACCTTTTTCCACTATAAAGAACCTTTTGTGGAATGGAAAGATTCCATGAATGTTAAAGGTTCTTCATGGAACCATCAATGCCAATAAAGAACCTTTATTTTTAAGAGTGTTCAAGTGAATCTTCAGAGAACGAAATGCAATTGTCATTAGAGTACTCTGTAACTTTCTCAGGGATCTCTTCAAGAATTTTTTTTAGAAGTTTGGACATCCGTTTAAAAGGCACTTTAATACTACATAATCTACTACATAACATCATCATGCTGATGTTACAACAATCTCATAACATGATGGGCTTTACAGGTCTTCCCAAGACCAAGTTGACACTTTTTCTGAAGCAAAAGATTTTAAGAATCAATTAAACAGTATAAAATAAGCAGCATTATATCTGTCATAACAACTCCACACAATATGTTTATCATTATATGCCACATAGGAAGAATGTAGCCTACATCAAATAGTAGACCGGCGCACAAAACAACACGAACTCCGCTCAAACTCACCTTGTCGCTGGACAAGCAGACAGCGGCTGAAAGTGTCAGGAATATCCAAATGTTCCTCATTATTCCCCTTAAAGAAGTCTTTTGGAAAGAATTCGTGGATGGCACTCGTCTGCGCTCCTTAAACCAGCTGCTCTCTTCGTACTCTTTTACAGTTTCACCTAAAACACAAACGCAAGATCCTTTTCGAGAGATGTTTGGCGTTTTGATCCACCTGATCAAACTTCTCTTTTGCCTTCCCAAACGGGAACTACTGAGAGTGTCTTGTTGTCTTGTTGATGTCTCGGGTCCATGTGAGGCAGCACGGCTCTGCTCGGATAGCGGATGAGAGAGAGAGAGAGAGAGAGAGAGAGAGAGAGAGAGAGAGAGAGAGAGAGAGAGAGAGAGAGAGAGAGAGAGAGAGAGAGAGAGAGAGAGAGAGAGAGAGGGGGGGATTTTTTGCGTCACACTTGACTAATAGGACTTGGACCAAACTAGGCTACATGTCTGAACATCAGTTTGTCGTAATTTCCGGCAAAAAAACGTGTCTGTGTGCAGCTCACTATTTTGATTTGAGACAGACTTCAGCAAAATAAACAGCGTCGATATTGGAAAATGAACTATAACTAGCTTAAAAATAGTATGACAAGTTGGTAGCTGTTGTTGCTGGACCAGGAGGCTTTACCAGGTTCATTTGTCCAAGACAATATGCCCCTCTGCTAATTCTGTTAGAGTAAAAATCAACTCAAAACTATTATGTAATTTTTACGTTGTACAGCCTTATTAAAAAAAATATCTATAATCTATAATTAATTAAGATTATGTTAATACAACTAAAAGTAAATAACTTTGACTTATTGGGGCCACGTATTGCTGTATTAGGCCCCCTAGGGAGCCCCGGCCCAGTGCTTTAAAACAACTAGAAACCATGATGACCATCTAGCATCTTAAATAAATGATGCACTGTAAATCAAAATGTCAATTACAAAGCCATTACAGGCAGTGCTACAAGTTTCATAAAATGTACAGCATCATAGGTATTATTGTTTAGTTTATTTGCTTGTAACAGCTGTTGCTGTAATCACATGGTAATCAGCCACCAATGTCATTACCAAAGATACGAAAGGGCAAAGATTCTGAAATCTTCTTAGGAGATCCTAAATTAGTTATGTTTTACAGAGTAGTAACAATAACAGTCCTATTGTATTTTAGCTCAAACTTTGGTTGTTGTTTGACCATTGTCATTTCCAGTGCTGGGTGTAAGTGATGAATTATTAAGTCATTAATTACCCTTGTGCATCCTTATGGACATTTTTGTCCTTTTCAGTTTTTTTTTTTTTTTTATCACTTTGCCTGTGCTAATGCTAACTGCATAAAATTTGGCACAGGTGAGTATTTTTATTGGAATTTTACTATTTCACCGCCATTTTCTTAAAAAAATCTTTTTTGCACTAGCTACACAAAATACTCCCTCTCAGCGCCTTTTGGACAAAAATGGCCCCATTGAAACTCATTAAAACTGCAATTTTTAATCCCAGGTTCATTTAACTATAAAATGATGAAATCTTTGTTAAGAGGCTTTCATTCTGTTGGCAAGACTTCAAAATTTAAATTTTTAAAAAAATTTACCAGATGGTGCCATTTTTCCAGGTTTGGCCTATAAAACAAATATCGCTTTATTCCTGTTTTCTGCGTCGGCATATTATAGAGCCAATTGGATAAATTGTGCAACGATAATTGTGTGGGTGTGTTGGTATGGATGTCAGAGTGTGGTTTGTATGTGTGTAATAAAAAAATGAGTGTGTTTGTGTGCTTCTAATATTTGAGAGAGAAAAACTCAATTGCAAATCTAAAATCCAATCACTGTGTGACCAGTGGAGTTTTGCTGGCACCCAATGGGGGAAATCTGTTACTGCGCCCAAACAAACTCTTACCGAAAGCTCATTTTTTGAGATATCAACCTCAAATTTAGAACACAACTTGTTTAGTTTTATGGCTTTGAATTTATATCAGTTTTAGAGTTCAACATGTTTCATAAAATATATATTTTATATAAAACAACGATAATAATGTTCATAAATCCTTTTCATAAATTTAAACCTCTATACAAAATTTTTGGTTTCACTTTTTTCACTTGTTTAACTTCACCAATAATCTGCCAAGGGTCCTCTTTAAAATGAGACCAAACTTAAGTCTTTGCTCCCAAGCCTAACATTTTTGTGACAGATTTTTGACATGGACATTTTTGTCCACTTTGTAGCTATGTGTAACTTCTTTTTTTTTTTTATGCTAACTGCATGAATTTTGGCACAGGTGAGTATTTTTATTGTAATTTTACTATTTCACCCCCATTTCCTTTGAAAAATCTTTTTTGCACTAGCTACACAAAATACTCCCTCTCAGCGCCTTTTGGACAAAAATGGCCCCATTGAAATCCATTAAAACTGCAATTTTTAATCCCAGGTTCATTTAACTATAAAATGATGCAATCTTTGTTAAGAGGCTTTCATTCTGTTGGCAAGGCTTCAAAATTTTAATTTTTACTATTTTTTATCAGATGGTGCCATTTTTCCAGGTTTGGCCAATAAAACAAATATCACTTTATTCCTGTTTTCTGCGTCGGCATATTATAGAGCCAATTGGATAAATTGTGCAACGATAATTGTGTGGGTGTGTTGGTATGGATGTCTGAGTGTGGTTAGTATGTGTGTTATAAAAAAAAATACGTGTGTGTGTGTGCATGTGTGTGTTTGTAATATTGAAAGAGAAAAACTCAACTGCAAATAACAAATCCAATCACTGTGGAGTTTTGCTGGCACCCAATGGGGAAAATCTGTTACTGCGCCTTACTGAAAGCTCATTTTTTGAGATATCAACCTCAAATTTGGAACACAACTTATTTAGATTTATGCCTTTGATTTTCTTGCCGTTTTAGAGTTCAACTTGTTTTATAAAATATATATTTTATATAAAATAATTTTCATAAACTTATACCTATATAACTTTTTTTTTTTATTAACTTATTAATTTTGTTTTACTTCAGCAATAATTTGCCAAGGGTCTTCTTTAAAATGATACCAAACTTAAGTCTGTGCTCCCAAGCTTCACATTTTTATGACAGTTTTTTGACACGGACATTTTTGTCCTCTATGTACCTATGAGTAACTTTTTTTAATTGATGCACAAGGGTTAAATAAAAAGAGATCACTCTTAATTTTCTGTAATTTAATTACTTACTTGTGATGTAATTTAATTAAAGGGTTAGTTCACACAAAAATGAAAATTATCCCATAATTTGCTCACCCTCAAGCCAGGTGTAAATGACTTTAGCTTTCAGCCAAACACAATCTGAGTTATATTAAAATATCCTGGCTCTTCCCAACTTTATAATGGGATTGAAAAGTAACTTAGATTTTGAAGCCCAAAAAAGCACATCCATCCATCATAAAGGCAATCCATACAGCTCCAGGGGGTTAATAAAGGCCTTCTGAAGTGAAGCGATGCATTTTTGTAAAAAAAAAAAAATCCATATTTATAACTTTATAAATTATAATCACTGGATTCCGGTAACGGCCGTACACAGGCCGAGTTCCAGCCGAAAAGTGAACTCTGATTGTTAAAATGTGTTTTTAATGTAACCTTGGTCAGTTCAAGAATCATTTATAGAATTTGATATTTATATGAATGAAATGTAATACAATCCTTTTAAAACACGTTTCATCTTTTACTGTAGATTGTATTATTTTCAGAATGCTGAAACCATTTTAATTAGTAAGATAATGTTCGTAATATGAATATCACCCTTCTGGGACATACAACCTATCTGAGTGAATATTTTCTGAGTGGGACTTGGTCTCCCCCTGCTGTTCTGCTCGATATAAGCACACAAAATACAAGCACACTTTACATAATGCATTCATTATACACTACTTTTATTGAGCACTTTTATGCAAATAGAGGTTCAGAGCATTTTAATTAAAAATCTAAATTTGAATAATGTATTCATGAGTGCTTTAGTGCTGCAAAAACATCAGATTTTTTATTCTGAATCCCTAAAATAAAGAACACACAACAAATACAAGTTTTTAATATTTTATTAAAGTTATATATTCATAAACATCTGTTTTTTTAAAGGGTAACGAGGGAATCTGAGTTAGTGCCAGATAATTTTGCTCATGAAAGTATGTCAGACACTTTACAGTCAATAAAAGATATCGGATCATTATGCCATTAAAATATTCACAACAATAAATAGAGAGATTATCCCAAAATATACTGCAAGACAAATGTCACGTAGCAAGATAAAAACTGTCTACATGATACCACATAGGACCTGAATAGTTAAATGTGATTTTAAATTGGACTGAGGTGAGCAAGGTGAAAAATACAGCATATAATTGGGATACAGAGAAGATATTGAAAGCACAGCAGTCACACTATCATCTAATTCCAGGTTTAACGTCCGTTCCTTTTAAGGTGCCAATATGGTTTTTCCTCCAAACAGGGGGAATCTGTCAAAAGACAACAACAAAAAAGTTACAATCATCACTATAAAGTTGTAGAGCTGTTGCAAAGTAAACATGGAGTGTTGTATTACACACAGGAGGTGGAGAGCTGGGTTCTAAGTGTCGGCCCAGGAAAGAGAGAAGTCTTCTCCAGATTAGTCCACTGCCCAGGAACATGAACCCGGTCACTAACCAAAACACACGTGGGTCCTACACACACACACACACACACAAATCAGTGTGGGTCGATAAACAACGTTCTCAGTCAGACAGATCTCAGCCTCAGACACTAAGGCACACAAAACTGGAAACACGTCGTCATCTGATTGGTTGAATTCTACAGTATTTCCGGGAAACTGTAAAACATTCTTTAAACTAAGCCGTTGTGTTGACAACTGACAATGAGTGCTTACAAGGACCAATTAAATACTGGACTTTCAAAAGTATGTTAAATATGTGAAGTCTGGGGTATAGACTCTTTAAAAAGCGTCCAAGAGTTTTACAAGTCGACTTGTTAACGTAGGGACATCAACTTTACATTTTCACATGATTGGTTGCTTCATGTCAGTCAGACGGCCTCTAGTCTAGACGGTCCTTGGTCAATGAAAGCTGTTATGGAGTTCAGACTTTGGCAATCTGGCAATGCGAGACTTTCAGATTGATAACACTGCACACAATGCTGGCTATAACACTGAAGTAAAACGGTAAACTGAAGAAAAACGGTACCAACCTCTTCAAAGGAAGATTCTAAATTCATTCCAAAAGCCACACCCATCAGACCAAATAAGGAGAGGGAGAAGGTTCCCATGGTGAGCTGGAGGTTCAGGCGCATCATGACATTCCGATGGCTAAAGACAATTTAAGGCAAGACACCACAGGTGAATATGCTAACTAATCGATATCACCATACTTCTCCCAGGTGATTAATCACAGTACATTAAAACAAATGATTTCCATAACAAATTTTCAAAATGTTATGATTAAATTAAGCTGGCAATAATTTGCATACATTCTTCAGAACAGAAATTTTGATATTGGATAAAGCCAGGTTCAAAATTCTTGTTTCATTTTGAAGACATATTACAGTTGAAGGTTTTTATAGAGGTAATTTTGGATATCTTTTTTTTATCACTGCTGGGAAAAAACATGTTCTCCATGTTTTTAGGAATAAAATGTTATATAAATCAGGTGAATGGTATATGGACAAACCTTACACATACCAAAAAGTTTGGTATATGTAAGTGCTGCTGAAGGGGAGATTTATGGAAGAAAATGGCCTTTAAAAGACATGCATTGTAATGAAATCTACAAACACAAATAGATAAAGAGTAATAAAATAAAATTAAAATGCGTATTCTGGATGTTCACTTTCTACAAGTCTGAAAGATGACAAATGATAGAAGAGAAAAAGGCCAAAATTGAGCAGTGCCTGAAACCCCACCATGTAAAATGATATTCGCTCAAATATCGAAATAAAATTTCTCTCTCCTATATGTCTTTTTAAATGTCTCAATTACAGTAGGCCTATGGATAAAAGTTATGATATTAGTGGCTTTTAAGCATTATTTTAGAAATTAAATATAAATAAACCTGACGTTACATGACTGGATAGTGTCGAATTGCAGAGCCTGTGTAAACATATTCACACCACTATGATCAGATGCTTTCTTAACTGCTGTTTTCTCACCGCTGTCATTTTTGTTGTACGTTTATTTTGATATATTGAGAGGAAAGTGCACAGCACATATTTACATATTCGTCTAAATGGCACTCGCATCTGTGTGAATGTTGTCGGGATGTTTGTTAACAGAATAGTGCTGCGAAGGTATTTCAAACTTCTTTTTATCCATTAGCAAAAAACGAAAAAGAACTTCGCTGTTAGTAGGCTATATCACAAAATTAATCTTTGCTAACTCAGTTTCTCCACACTCCCTTTCAATATCTTCTCCTTCTGCGTTCTTAACTGTGATGTTTACTGTGCATTTAGGTTTAACTTCATTAAAACAATATTTAAACTCCATAACCTTGGACCCATTGATTAATTTCACATATTCTCGAACCAGCATATCAGAGAGAGCATTCTGGGTTGAGCAAGAGGAATCCTTAGAAAGGCGCTCTCCGTTCCGGAGGAAATATCCCTGCTTTGCTCACACGCTCTGACTGTGACACATGTACAGTATCTTGACGTGTATTCCATCATGAGGTACAGCCCTAGAGCAGTTAAAAAAGGCATTATAGAAGATGTGGTTGCCGCTGGTGTACCTATCCAGGTTAATGAAGATGACGCTTTCAGAGTCATCGATGAGGTCTTTCAGCTCTCTGGCTTTGTTGCCAAGCTCCTCTGCTTGCATGAAGTAATTCTCCAGCAGTAACTCCATCTCTTCAGCGTGATCTATACCCAGACTACTCTCCTCACTGGCTCCATGTGAACACATACACACACACACACACACACACAAACACAGGCACACCAGCAGATAAAAGACCCACACAACAATTATCAGATATTTACAGACACCAAGAATATTTGTGTACATTGTAAATGTGTTGCGGAAATTCTGTGAAGTGTCACCTACAACACTTGCGGGTCGCTCCACTTGGTGACACAGAGTTCATCTATCAGTTCATCCTCATCCAGGATTTTTAGCAGACTCTCTTTAAACATTCTAATGTCCGTCTCTAGCTCTGAAAGGCTGCAGGGAGATAAAAAGCCTGTTTTTTTTCTCTCAAAGAAAATGATAGATCATGCTACTTCAAAGCTTCCGCTCTAAAAGAAACACTGCAATGACTTTAAAATCATTTTCTACCAGACAGAGAACATATTGCCTCGTAATAATGAGATGTGGACTAGATATGTCATTTTATTAGGTTCACTTTATAACTTAGCTAGATCTGTCAGATATGGTTTGATGATAAACCATGATACAAATTCCTGATGGTTAGTATTGCCATTTCATATTTTAATTATAATTAAAACCGTATTCGATTTGAAAAACTAGCGGTAAATACTGGTCAGCATTAAAGGCAGGGTAAGTGATTTGTTCCAGAAAAAGGTTTTTGTTATGTTGGTTAAAAGTCTCTTCACATCCTGAAAGCAATCACTAAGTTAAGTGGTCTAAATGTATTTAGATGTGTGCAGTCGTGCTCAACAGTTTACATACACCTTGCAGAACCTGCAAAATGTTAATTATTATGTATGTAAATTATTTATTTAGTACTGTCCTGATTAAGATATTTGATGTTCATATATAGAATGTATAAAAATTACCCCGTTTTAAAGTTTGCATAGCCTTGAAATTTTCATACTGTCTCATCTCTACTTTAAGGGCTGTGGTTTTCCAATGCTTTAATGCTCGATGGTTTAATATATAATTTAACCAATAAAATCATTATTTTTATTTTACAGCAAAATAGTAAAATATTTCTTGTTTAGTTCAATATTATTACATAATAACCACAATTATTATTTTATAGTCATACTGAATGAGTTGGTTCTTATAAAGAGTACACCGGACTGTCAATACCCACATTTTCCCAAGTTGCTCAGTGCTAAAAGGCTGTTCAATTATTATTATTCTATGCAGATGTACTCCCCTACAAAACAACCCCAACCATTCTAGTGCAAATTGTTCTTTCCCAATTAGAAAATGTATGTATTCATGTTTTTTTCTTTTACCATTTACCAATATCCATCACAGAAAAACTACATTTCGCTATGTCATTTTTTTCCAACATCATGCAGCCCTATTTGGATACTATCAGAGATAGTACTTTTAATTAACCCTAGTGATGAGCAAAACTACATATTTTCAAAACTGACAAGACAACTTGGAAGCTCTTAATTAGGCTTTAATACCACAAAACTATCAAAGACGTAAGCGCAAACACAGCAAGCATTCTCCTTTAAATCACCACCACCCGAAACAATATTACAGATACAAAGACAAGAAAACAAAACTAGATAAACTCACTAGGGGACATTACTAACAACCTAATCAGCTGTTAGGCGGTCGAGTCGACTATCCTGACTCATCCCTAATTAACACAAGAAAAACACAACAAAACAATCATTTTATAACTCTGGATAAGCTTAATAGCAAATACCCTTGAAATTATGTTATAGCGATCTTTCATTAAGATCAGCTAATAAGAAAGTAAGGTTCTTAATTGTGTAGTTAAATGCCTCTCGCATTTGGGAACATAATGTTCTAAACACAACAACATGGCTAGGGAAAGCCTTTTAGTGCAGCTTTTTAATGAAGTTAATGAACTCACCTCTTGCTATTAAGCAGGAGCAAATGGAGTTTGCTTCGGTCGGCAGAGAGGAGCTTTGGGTCGACCAACGACTCGAGACAATCCAGAACCTGAGGCTGAACTTCATTCAGTCGCATCTGCAGCAAATTCACCTGTGCACAAACACATGCTTACCCATATAAACATGCAACAACACATGATTACACATACAAACATGGACACATAATCAAGTAGACACAGAGACCAAGAACAAAAACATGGACAAAGATCAGACTGTGGTACAAAACAACTCCACACTAGCCATGATGATCACCAGATACCGATAACAAACTCAGTCATATATGATACATGGATATGATCACAATATTTGTTTATGTTTTTTTTTTCAAAGTCAATTACACTCACCAATGCTGCATTTATTTGATCAAAAATCCAGTAAAAACTATAATATTGTAAAATATTTTTTAGCATAACATAACTGATTTTCATTTTAATATATTTTCACATTTAATTTTAAAAAAGCTGAATTTTTAGCAGCCATTACTTCAGTCACACAATTCTTCAGAAATCAGTCTAATATTGTAATTTAGTGAATTATTAACAATATTGAAAACAGATCTTTTTGTGCAAACCATGTTTTCAGTAGAATTCTTAGATGAACAAAGTTAAAAAAAAGAACAGCATTTATTTTAAAAAGAAATATTTAGTAAAAACATGAACATATTTACTGTCCCTTTTGATCAATGTAACACATCCTTGCTGAATAAAAGTATTGATTTCTTTCTTCTACTTTTTTTTTTAAAGGAGTCATAATGTGCAATTTTCACTTTTCCATGAGAATCAATGTATGTTATGATTGACTAACGATTATACATTGGCCGGGATGCCGATATTCAAAAGTGAAGCGTTTGTTTACCCCAGGGTTCTTAAACTAGCCAACGTGCACGCGCACTCAAATACGAGATTTCACTTTCTCCCCCGACTTGACATCAAGACGGGGCCGGATATACCATATATGGACACCGCAGAGGAGGCCCGCCCTGCCCCTCTCCCCATCATATTCAGTCAAGAAAGATGCAGAAACGTAGTGCACACGTGAGTTGCTCTGTGGTTGACTGTCATAATCCACATTCTAATCTTTTTTCTTTACCCAAAACTGACCAAACTACAAGGGACAAGTGGATGAAATTTATTTTTAATGACGCTGTTCCAACAACCATCTCAACTTGCTCAACGTTAGGTGTCTGCGCTAAACATTTCACAAAAGAATATTTTACAAATTTGGGGCAATATCAGGCGAAGTTGGTATCGAAGCTACGTTTGGGAAAAGGTGTCATTCCAACAATCAGGGACTTGCCTGAATTTGAAACGGTAAGACTGTGTTTTTATTACTATATTTTGTGTAACAAACAGCAGCTAACTACTAATGCGGTTAATGCATGTGATAAGGATAGATAAATTTAACAGTCAAGAATTAATAAACATAAAGAAAAACATAACGTTACATGTCTGCAGATGAAAATTATTAAATATCTAAAAAACCACAACGTCAAAAAAGGCAAAAACAACACATAGTAGCAAACGTTAATCTCTATAACCACTGTAAGCTGAAAACAAAGTAGACTACATCTCCGTTAATGTAATCTACATTAAATTAAAGCTAAACTTATGTGGGAGAAAATAGCAAAAAAACGTTTTAGCTCGTTACTGATGTTAATGTATGTCTCAGTCAAAAAAATTGTCTTTACCATTCAGAGACATGTTGATGTAGACGTCCTTCAATTGACTGTTGTTCCTCTTCCGTTTCCAGCTCTGGTTCAGAGTCTGGCTCAAACATATACGGTTGAATCCCGTGGGTCGCGGCCAGGTCGGGTTCATTAACAACTTGCGCCATGATCTCTTTTTGGAATGATATGCTGAAGTTACCTGCGGTGTCAAGCCCCCTCCTTCCTGCCACCAATCAACGCGCCCCTCATTTGCATTATTAAAATGACCGTCCACGACAGCCAAAACCTGGCATCAGATCTCGCGAGACAATAATTCATTCAGAAATAAGGGTCAAACGAGCTCTGTGTTTATTTTTTTCCAATTTTTCTTTTTTAGAAGGGCATGAAATGACTATAATAGAGCGTGGGTATCAAAGTTAATACTACATTATGACTCCTTTAAACCTTATCGAGCCCAAAATTTTGAACGGTAGTGTATTACCCTGTTATTATTATTTATTTATTAAAAGAATTACTTTAAATACTCACCCTGTGTTGCAGAATGGCTTCCAGAGCTCTGAACTCAAAGGGCAGGGAGTAAGTAGCCAAATTTCCATCTCCCGCCAACTGTGGCCCAAGTTCTAACACCAGCCATTTCTCCAGGCCGAGACCACGGAAATCCAGCACCAGTAAACACTCCGGGGTGACCACTGCCTTCATGGACTACACATTAAAAAAAAGGGGGGAAAAAACTTTTTATAATTAAAAAATATATATAGGCAATTCAATTTCCATATGAGTTTTCATCTTTAGAAGATTTATTGTATTGAGTATAAGATAAAGATCATCTTTTATGTTTATAAAACAATCTTCGGAAGCTCCGAGTGTGATGACGTGTGTCCATACCTCCATGCGTATGATGATGGCATTGTTCCGGGCCGTAATACTTGTTAAGTGCTGGAATCTCAGATCTCTCGCCTGCAAACTAAGCTCCTGATACAATTCAGTCTTCTTCTTTTCTAGAGAACAGAATAAGAGCCAAATCCATCGATAAAAATCTAACACGGCAAATTTTGGCCATAAAACACTAATGAACAAAATTAAAAACAGGAGGATGCTCTCTCTTTCTCTCTTTCTCCATAAAGAATTAATTGAATGTTAAAACAGATTAAAACAGGGTTGAGAATACACAAATATATTTAAAAAACACATTATTTAACATACTTAAAATTGAACAGATTGAAATAGGTGGTTGATAATAAACAAGATTAATTACAAAATACAAAATTTAACATTATAAATACAATATTCTTGAAAAAAAAAAGCACCAAAAAGAGAAAATAATTTATTTTCATTTTTCCCCAAAAGCACACATTTAATATTCATAATATTGGAGGATGTATAGTAGGGGCATTGCAAGACTTTCTCCATAAAATGTAATAATATTTCCTTTTTATGATAATAAGCATTAACAACTTTTCAAATGATTCTCTATACTGTTAAATAAGCTCAGTTTTGCACCTTTTTGTTTGTGAAGACAGTATTTTCCATGAAAAATATAGAAGTTCACAAATTTTGCGTGTGTGTAAGAGTGTATCTTTCAAATATCATTTATTAGTACATGCATTGCACTGTAATGAATTTCTCCTTTTTATAGCATTACAGGCTTTTTAAGTGACTCACTTAGTTTATGGTAAAAACTAAATTGAATTACATTTTGCACATTTTAGTTTGCGAAGATAGTATTTTCCATGAGAAATATAGAAGTTGACAACATACTCCATCTTGCTTTTATTTGAGTAAGAGCATAATATAACTTATAATTAACATTTCTTGGGTCAAATGAAAACTAACATCATACCAAAATCTGGAACATACAGTAAGTTTGTGAAAAGCATCCAACTCACCAAATGATGTCACATTCCCATCACGCTGAAATTTCATCTGTTGAATGAGAACGCAAATTAGTAAAGGTGAGTGAATGACCTTTTAATCATAATGGCCCGGTTTCACAGACAGGGCTTAGATTAAGCCAGGATAAGGCCTTCGTTCAATTAACGTTAGGGCATTTAAGTGGCTCTTATAACAATGTCACTGAAACATGCATTTTAGTCTGGGACTAGCTTAAGCCTCGTCTGTGAAACCGAGGGATACAGTGTGTGTGTGATTAAAACTAAAAGATGCACAAATGTTTGTCTTACCACAACAAACACTGGAGCCACACTAGACAGGGCTGCCTGGGATGCATCTGTGGCTCTTTGGCGACAGCAGAAGTCGTGCAACAGAAATAAATGTTTTACTCGTGTTGTGCTACAGGGTCCCTGAGCTCTCGGCAGAAGAGTGCTGTGATGTGTCCGTCCACACGCTGCTGTAAGAGGGCTTTTGAAAGATGATCTTGAGCACTTCACGGGTCTCCATGTCCAGCATTTCATCGACACTTTCCTGAGACTCTCTCGACACACAGACCTCAAACATGGCTCCATATTTTAAAACACTTTAAAAGTCCATTTTACCCCGACACCCAGGTGAGGTTACTGTGCGATATGACACAATTGCTTTGGTCTTACTATAACTCCATTGGAACCCGATTATGCAGCTATTTTGTATTAGTTGTGAAAGTAAAGAACAACATCTCCGAAATCCTGGTTTGAAACCTCCTGGTTTGATGTATTTAGCTGTCCTGCTAACTCGCATCTGCAGGTAACGTTACCTCCGCTTTACTATTATCTCGTAATGTATTTAGTATACGAACACATAAGTGCAGGAATAGTTCAATGAGTTGCTGACTTTATCAACAGTGGCTGAAAGGCATGTTTTCGGAAACTGTTGATGACGTCATGCATGCATACAGCACGCGCTCGCTGTCGCACCATTGCTCCAATGGTCGGCAGCTATGGGTAGTGACGTCACTTATGAAGCCGTTAAAGAGATAGTTCACCAGAAAATTCAAATTCTGTCATCATTTACTCACCCTTATGTTGATCCAAAATTGTATGAGTTTCTTTGTTCTGGTGAACACAAAAGAAGATATTTTAAAGACTATTGGTAACCAGACAGTTGACGGTAGCCATCATGACTTTCCTACTATGGAAGTGGTGCCGTCATCTGTCTGGTTACAACATTCTTCAAAATATCTTCTTTTGTGTTCAACAAAACAAAGAAACTCATGCAAGTTTGGAACAGCTTGATGGTGAGTAAATTATGACACAATTTTCATTTTTGGGTGAACTATCCCTGACTTGAAAATGCAATAACAAAAATGTTATTACCCATTTTCAAAAATGAATTAACATTTTATTTATTTAGAATTATGTTGCTGTAAATATTAAGTTAAAGACTGTATGTTGTATATTATTATAACAAAGACGACATAGGTCTTGAATCTACAGTTAATTTATTTATTTTGCTAGCAAATTTTTAATAGCACACATTCGCATACATAACTTGTTTTTTGAATGAATTTATGCTACAGTGCAAACTTTGTTAGGTCGGTGTTGTACTAGTTGCCTATTTATGTTCCATAAGGAATCTTCAAAAAGCTGCATGTTCCCTGGATGCAATGTAAACAATAAAGATTTTTTTTTTTTTTTGCGTGTGTATTTTGCTTTTGCATCTCTTTTTATTATTTACTTATATTTGCCTTTTAATTAATTTACAACATTTTTTTTTTGGAGGGGTGGGGTGGATATTTTGCCATTAGATGTTTTTTGAACGTAAAAAGTCACAAGCGCAGATTCTCATTGCGGCCACAGGATGGCGCTCTCCGCATTCATACCACTCAACCCTGCCCAGTGCCCACCACAAATACGGTATACTAAGATGCTGGTCATACATGAGATCATGCGCTTGCATATTCGGTATTCGGGAAATTACATATAAATGAATATCTCCGGTCCAGTTTTTGTGCTCTGGTGGTTTCAGGCCTTCTGTAATTCACTGAAACATCAACTCGCTGCTGCTGCTGCACTGATGCTTTACAGCGCCTGGAAAAAAGACATCATTTCCCCTTCGCGAGCGCGCAATGAATGAATGAACCAGGCAAGTGTTGCTGTGCTTTGCCAGCTAAGGGGAATCGCTAAAAGCTTTTTTTCTGCATTCATCCCCTTACAATAACGACTTGACGCGGCGTGAAGATGTTCCCGTCGTGCTATTCTAAGCCCAAAAATGGCTCTCAGTTCAAGATGTCTTACACTAAAGTGATTTGTGGGGTGTTGGTGGTGTATGTCCTGCATACGTGCTGGGCCATATACGGCTTCATTCACACCAAACCCTGTGACAGCGCCAAAGGGGACAGCTGCGTTACATCGTATCTCACTGTCAAGCCTCGACTTCAGGTGAGTGTATCTAGTTTAACTGTCTTTGTCAAATGTATTGTAAGTCACCCGTTGCTTCAAAATCTTACAGTTATTAATGCGTGTTATCTCTCAACAGCTTAGTGTCTATTCCGCTCTGGACCCCAGTGATGAAGCTGGACACAACCTGCTTTTCAAAGTGGACAGATTTGATATAAACGCCAAGTTCGAAAGGCAAGCTGACCTTTTGTGGTTTGTTACCCATATGAAATAGCATAATATTAATAACTTATTATGGAAACAATATAGGCCCTACATTAAAACTATATAAGCTACTTAAGTGTGAAGTGAATGTAATTTTTTCGAACATGTTAATTGCAATTAAATTAAAATGTCTTGTGTTTAATGTCTACAAATAGGAACTCCCGCACACTATCAGTACTTGCAAATAAAACTTTAATTGTTTGTTGCTCCATCAATATTCAATGCAAACTTCTATTTCTTTCTGCATCAGTCATACTATGGGAGTATGAAAAGCAAATTTTTATTAAGGTGTTCCTTTAACCCCGTTAAATGCTGAATGTACTGTCAAGGATTTATGATAAAATTGAATGATTTAAATAGCATATTTGTAATAACATGTGTAATGTTGAAGTTGCAATTTAGTACATTTAAAATATGTTAACTTTAAATTAACTTAGCACACCACGTTTAAAATGATAATCAAGTACTTTTCATCTGCTCTAGTGTTTAAGTCAACACATCAAAATAAGTGTACCTAAAACATGACAAAATATAATTAAAACATAATGATTTAAAACGTACTTGAAAGTAAAACTTTTAATTTAACCCTTTATTCATTAGTATTATATTACAACCCCAATTCCAGAAAAGTTGGGACATTTTGTAAAATGCAGTAAAATCAAGACCTTTATTTAACTAACAATTCCAATGGTCAAATTCATATTTTGTAAATATTAACACATTTTGATTTTGATGGCTGCAACACACTCCCAAAAAGTTTGGACAGAGGAAAAATAAACAGTGGCAATAACTCTGGGACCACGTGACTCGGATGTGCTGAGATCACCGGACTTGGCATGCCAGCCCTCTCTTACCTCAGAGGAGAATGAACGATAAAATAACATTTAATAAACGCCTGGAACTCTACATAGAAACACCAGCATGAAACTTCAACACAAGGCAAAGAACAGGAGACAACTGAGGGATTTATGGTGCGTTCACGTGCTATGGTAATTATGGTAAATACCAAAGGCCGACGTGGAAAATGCACATGAACACCCCCTCATGTGGTATTTTCCACTGGGCAACTCGTAGAATATTTTGATGCACGAGTTGCCGAGATGAGATAACCTTTGACCTTTTCAAAATGGCGGAGAGCAACGCAAGAGTTGTGAATGGTAAAAATATGTACTATTCATGATCTAGAAAATATACAGCATATTATTTACCGTTTGAGGTTTGATAAATCATTTTCTTGCTGTAGCAGATGACTTAAATAGATGAATCTAAAATAGTTTTAGCTAAATAACAGGTCTGGATCTCCATCTTTTTACCACATTACGACAACAAAAGCACTTGAACGCAACACACTGGTAAATACCAGTTCACAAGTGGAAAATATCATATTTTCCATAGCACGTGAACGCACCATAAATACACAGTGGCAATTTGGGACAGGTGAGACTAATCAATTAAACAATGAATAACCATGACAACTAAAGAAACAGGAAAAGGGAAACTGGGCAAAACAGAACAGAAATAATTTCAAACTAAGAGTCCCAAAATACATAGACCAAATCCGTGACAATCCAGAGAAATCTCAGTCTGTGAAGGCCAAGGCAGGAAAGCAAAGTGCGTGACCTTCGAGCCCTCAGATGGCATGGCATGAGAAATCATCAAGCTACTGTATTAAAAATACATTGGAAAACCAACATTAAGAAATGCATTGTATCAGACAAGATTGGGCAAAAATCACACTTACAAGACTGCGACAATTAGTATCCTCAATTCCCAAATGATTAAAAAGTATACAGTTGTAAACATGCCTCTGTCTCAACTTTTTTTTTTTTTCCTTGCAAATGCCACTTGGTTTTATTTTAATAATAATTGAATGACATTCAGAATTCTTTTTAAATGTGGTTTAAGGCACCAGTATATATTAAAGTATCATGGTATTTACTATGTGATACCATATGATTTACCATGTGATCCAGTACCATAGGATCACCACAATACATTTTTGTTAGGGCTAGATGAAAATCTTATTTCCCATTTAGTTGCAGAAAGTACACTGTGGCTCAGAACTGGTGATCTGGTAAGAAATTGATTCAATTTGAGAAACTTACTTTAATATGGTTTTGACGATTTTTATTGTACAGTATGTGAATACTGACACGGCATTGTTTGGTTCCTCAGATAGCATACAATGTTTTGTGATTAAAGGAAGGTGAGTGTCGCGGTTCCTGAGATGACCCATAACAACGGGAGCGTCCATGCCGTGGTGTTTGTGCACAAAAGCGGAGTTTCGCCTTGGAAAGACAGCAGACACGTGCGTCTTGTGACCCGTCTCACCTCTCAAGTGATCCTTCTTCAGTCTGGCACCAGCACTAACCCTGAGGTATTGTAGCAAAGTATTACTGCCCACACTTCTTCAAATATTGTGGCAGTTTATTTGGTACCCTAATTACCCTTGTGAAAAAGAAGTACATTTTAGCATAGCTACTTTAAAAATGACTACTTTTTTGCGGAAATAATACGCTTTAAAAGAACATACTTGAGTGCGAACTGAATGTAATGTTTTCGGTCAGTTAACTGCATGTTAGCATTATAGTTTTAATTTATATTAAATTCATTCAGTTTAACTTAATAAATAACTGTCTTAAACCCGTTTTTTTGGGGCGAATCCGATAATGAAACATTGGAACAACTAGTTATTCAACCTGAATCCCCATTGCAAGGACGACTCGAGCAGGGCTCAGTGTTTCTCAGTGATACGCTAATTAGTTTAACATTATGAGATGCAGCTGTATTTCCTCACCATCACCATTAACAAATGTATGTCCATCAACAAACCGATAATATTTCTAATTTATTGTGGTGCACGTGTGAACTGTATCATTTAACTGTATTAATAATAATAGTGCATACGTTAGACGGAGAACTACACAATATAGCTGTGGGCATTAGGCAAATGTGTTAGTAACGTGTAGCCGTCACGGAAGTAAGATTCAAATTCCTGACGACTTGTTTAGGTGGTTCAGAGTAGATTCTTTCTTTTGAGAAACAATAACTTTACGTGTGCTCTTTCGTCTTCATAACTTTGCAGATAGCTGCATTACACATTGCATGAAAGGGAATGTCGAAAAAGCATAATAGGGGCACTTTAAATATGGTCTGAAAATCTACAGAGAGGTTTGGAAATTTGAGTCTGGAAAAGTATGGAATTTTGAAATGGAAAATGTGTGGGAAGTAGGAACCCTGTTAAGACTGCGTTTTGACCCACTTAGGTAAGAGTTAAGTACATATTTATGTAATTTCATAATTACTTCTGTTGTGTTCTGCCGAATGTACTGACAATATACTCCTTTCATACTAGAGCCCGTACGCACATGCACACTCTTCAAAAACGGCGCTTTAAAGGAATAGTTCACTTCAAAATGAAAATTCTGCCATCATTTACTCTTGTGACCATAGTTGCCTAATGATGCTTTTGGGAAAGCACAAAGTATAAAATCGTTGGGGTTCTCTAGTTTACATACAGTACAGCAGAGTGAATTATTATCTTACTTTATCAGTCCATGAAAACATGTACTAAATGTGTTATTACATATGTACTAAATACATATGTAAATACCTACTTCAAATCAGTTCATATGCTGTAAAAAATCTCAACTGATTATATAAACTGTAAATTAAGTTTAGTTGACTAAAAACAAAAATGCATCATGACAGATGTCAAGAGATAACTTGAATGTGGATACTTTCCTGTGTAAAGGCACCAGAAGAGCAGCAGATTGTTTCTTACTGGAAATCACGACTTCCCTTGAACGTAATGAATGAGGATTTCACCTTCAACAGTGCAGCGGTGCCCAGCGACCTTCGCCGCTATATGAAAATGTGAGTTATTATCTGAAACCTTGATGTGTGTGTATCTGTGTCTTAATATATTACCTGGAATTCCAGTTTCAATGTTTGTTTTACTTTCATTTTACTCCCTCAGAGTTGAAGATGGAAAAAAGGAAAAAAAGAAATTGTATCTGCCACTTTTACTGGTTGATGAACTAAAAAGCAGATTAAAGGACTTAATTGTATGTAAAAACTCTGAGTTTCTATTTCAAATGTAAAAAATTAAATGCGTTCGAATGTTGAATGCACGTTTACATGTTAAATTACACAGGAGATAAACAGCACCACAAAAGCAGTCCCACTGACAATATCATATGACACCATTACCTTACGCAAATTCAGAATATGGATCCACATACAAGCTGTCATATACTCACTCAAACATTTTGGTGAGTGACATACAATGCATGACATATATGCATCATATATAAAAAAATAATTCAATAACTAGATCCACAAGTTTTCTCAGATTTATTGTTTAATTCTGTATTAATCATAAGCATGTTTTTCTACTTTCCTTCTGGCAGGATTTTCGGAGAAGAATCTTGATGAAATTAAAGCCATGTTTGTTGATAGTGGGCTGCACATCTTGGCTTTGTCCATTCTAGTGCCTGCATTCCATGTAAAAATGCTTTATTAAGATACTTATTTTTATGTACGTTTATTATTATATATTATCATTATCTTACCAATAATGTAATATTCTGTTTCGCAGCTCTCATTTGAGGTCTTTGCCTTCAAGAATGACATAAGGTTCTGGCAGGAAAAGAAGAGTTTAGCTGGTATTTCTAGAAGATCAGGTACTGAATAAATAGCTGCAGTATGTTGGTGCGACAAGACGAGCCACAAATAATCTGTCGCAATTGGGAAAAATGGCTATAAAATCGTGTTTGTCTCTGCAGTTGTGTGGAGATGTTTCAGTACCATCGTAATATTCCTCCACCTAATAGAAGAGAAATCCAGCTGGCTGATTCTGCTTCCCACTGGGATCTCGGCTCTAATTGAGGTATAAAAATAGGTGAAATGTGCTCATTTTGGACTGCTGGCCTTTATTTCTGTTTAAACCAAACATGACTTTTCTCCTCTGTCATTTGTTCTTGAATTTGCAGTTATGGAAAGTGAACAAGGTCTTAGCACTTTCACCCACATTTCATGTAAGTGTTTATTACTTGTACTTAGTACGGTCTTTTTAAGGAATATGCTACACATCGTACTCACTGTAATTTGTTTTCTTGAAGGATGAAAGAATGGATGATTTTGAGCGCGCAACGGAAGACTATGATTCTAAGGTGTGAACAAATTACTTTTGAACCATTTCAATTTTTTCATTGAACCATTTAGTTCATTATTAATTCATGTTTCCAGAGTTCCTATAGAATTTGTCATCTATCTTTGACACAGTAAGTTTTTTTAGTAGTTTCTCTTTACTTGTACAGGCCATGAAGTTCTTGTCATATCTGATGTATCCATTGTGTATCAGTGGAGCCATATACTCATACTTGTATCTCCAAAATAAAAGGTAACATTTTTACTTTAAAAATAATATTAATATTATGTATATACACTCACCTATAGGATTATTAGGAACACCACACTAATACTCTGTTTGACCCCCTTTCGCCTTCAGAACTGCCTTAATTCTACGTGGCATTGATTCAACAAGGTGCTGAAAGCATTCTTTAGAAATGTTGGCCCATATTGATAGGATAGCATCTTGCAGTTGGAGATTTGTGGGATGCACATCCATGGCACGAAGCTCCCGTTCCACCACATCCCAAAGATGCTCTATTGGGTTGAGATCTGGTGACTGTGGGGGCCATTTTAGTACAGTGAACTCATTGTCATGTTCAAGAAACCAATTTGAAATGATTCGAGCTTTGTGACGTGGTGCATTATCCTGCTGGAAGTAGGCATCAGAGGATGGGTACATGGTGGCCATAAAGGGATGGACATGGTCAGAAACAATGCTCAGGTAGGCCGTGGCATTTAACGATGCCCAATTGGCACTAAGGGGCCTAAAGTGTGCCAAGAAAACATCCCCCACACCATTACACCACCACCACCAGCCTGCACAGTGGTAACAAGGCATGATGGATCCATGTTCTCATTCTGTTTATGCCAAATTCTGACTTTACTATCTGAACGTCTCAACAGAAATCGAGACTCATCAGACCAGGCAACATTTTTCCAGTCTTCAACTGTCCAATTTTGGTGAGCTCTTGCAAATTGTAGCCTCTTTTTCCCATTTGTAGTGGAGATGAGTGGTACCCGGTGGGGTCTTCTGCTGTTGTAGCCCATCCGCCTCAAGGTTGTGCGTGTTGTGGCTTCACAAATGCTTTGCTGCATACCTCGGTTGTAACGAGTGGTTATTTCAGTCAAAGTTGCTCTTCTATCAGCTTGAATCAGTCGGCCCATTCTCCTCTGACCTCTAGCATCAACAAGGCATTTTCGCCCACAGGACTGCCGCATACTGGATGTTTTTCCCTTTTCACACCATTCTTTGTAAACCCTAGAAATGGTTGTTCGTGAAAATCCCAGTAACTGAGCAGATTGTGAAATACTCAGACCGGCCCGTCTGGCACCAACAACCATGCCAAGCTCAAAATTGCTTAAATCATCTTTCTTTCCCATTCTGACATTCAGTTTGGAGTTCAGGAGATTGTCTTGACCAGGACCGCACCCCTAAATGCATGGAAGCAACTGCTATGTGATTGGTTGATTAGATAATTGCATTAATGAGAAATTGAGCAGGTGTTCCTAATAATCCTTTAGGTGAGTGTATATATACAGTATATATATATATATATATGGAAATGTTCATGCTTTTCTCCATATATATATATATATATACATACTGTAGTGGTACTGGAAAATGTGTGAACCCCTAAGGATCTTTTATAAATGTGACCGACATTGAAATCTTCCTGTAAGTCCTCTAACTAGATAAAGAGGAATCCAATAAAACAAATAAGACTGCATACTTTAACTTAATTATTAAGCAAAATAAACATGTTGTTATCTGGTGTGACGCCCTTGAGCAGCAATAACAGGAACCAAATGTTTCCATGTAACTGTGTAATCAGTTCTATACATCAGCTTAAAAAGTATTTTAGTCCATTCCTCCTAACAACACTGCCTCAACTCGTTTAAATAAGAAAGCTCTATTTCGAATTCATCTTTCTATATAGGTCATATTTATGAATAAAATTCACAAAAAAGGTTCACAAACTTTTTAGAGCATCTGTAATTTGATATATATTAATATATGTATTCATGTTTCGTTATGTTGTGTACTCTCAATAGTTGGCACTCTTGGATAACCAATGGCCTTATTAGTGGTAAGAGCTTTAATAATAAAACGTGTTAATTAACACTTAATTACTTACTGCACAAAGAATTTCTAAATAAAATTCCTCTTCTCTTTTTTAAACATTAAGGTGTTTATGCGTTCGGGTTTCTGTCAATGGTTCCTCAGCTGTTCATCAATTACAAGGTTTGTTTATAGGCCAGTTCTAAAATACAGTTCAACTACAGTTGTCTTTTTCCTATAATGTTTCCTCGGAATGTTCCTTAAGTGTGTCTTTTGCTTTTCTCCACAGTTAAAATCTGTGGCTCACCTGCAGATGTCCGTCTTGATGTATAAGGTAAGTTACAGTGTTAATTTAATGAGAAATCGATTTTCTGTGCTCTTATTGAAAACATACTGAGACTCCCAGAACTCGCAACATCCTCCCCAGTCCAAAAAGAGCATTAAAACGAAGAGGCTGTTCACACAGGATGCATTTACACTGCAGGTCTTCCTATTCCGATTAGTTGACTATATTTTTTTGACGACCAGCTTACATCTTCTTTTAAAATTGACCCAAATCCAATACTTTTTGGTAATTTCATGACTTACTGACAACGTAAGTACCGTGTTTCATGCTTGTATTTTCTAAAAGTCTTTCTAGAAGTATGTTTTTTGTTGTTGTTGTTGTTGTTGTTTATTCTTTGACTATGCACTCCGCGACACGACCCACCAGTTGAGCAACACTGACTTAGAAGAACTGAATATAAAATGTGTGAAAGCTCATCATATATGTTCCTGGCTGTGTGTAGCACCTACCGCTCTGCATATCCTTCAGAAGGATCTTAAAGTTAGGGCTGAAGCTTTAGGACTGATTTAATATTGAATAATATTACAATGGCCATAAACTAAATTATGACTTTTGGATGCAAGAAACATCTCAGGTTAAAAAATAAGATAAAATGACCTTTTAATATATATATATATTTATAAAACGGTTAGTTCCAATCCTTGATTCTGATTGGTCAATAGCTGTGCTTTATTCACGATAAAACACGGCTATGACCGCTTCACCCAACGGTTCTATGTATCACTACACAACACCCCTAGCAACCACTCTTAGCAACTTAAACAGATGTTTCATCTCATTGATATTGTTCATTTAAAGCTAGAGCAGAGCATTGTGAGAGATCGAGTAAGCGAGTGTACCTGCATTTACAGTAGACGTAGCATTTTCCTTCAGGTCAGTCCTATATTCATAATAAAAAAATGCGTTTGAATGTCCGCTGCATATTTTGTCCTTTTAACAGTCATGGGGTTTTCCGTGCATAACGTTAGTCATCTGTCAGTTGCGTCTGTCTTCTCCGTGATCACAAGTTCGAGTCCTTTCAAAAGCCTTCTCTACAGACTCACTCACTCACTCACTCATAAAGACAGTCTTTGCCGCCATCTATTGGCGAAATAATATATGTAACTTCTGTTGCTGTTCACGTTCCGGGACTATTTTTTCCAGCGGAAGGCAGGCTTTTAGTGATTTTACTTCATGAAAGTTGCATAGATACATATTTTTCGGCTTTAATATTTTTATTGTGTGGCAACCGTTTTATAAAAGCAATAAGGTACTCGAGGCAAGTGCTGTATCGTGAATAAGTAACGGCTGAAGGGGTTGCAGGCACTCCGCTTCGCGTCGTGCCTAACAACGCCCTCCAGCCGTTACTTATTCACGATACAGCACAGCCTCTCGTACCTTATTGCTTACATATATATCAGAACATTAACTGTTCTCAATGGGGAAAACCAATATAACATTTCTTTTAAGTTGTTTCTGCTTAATAGAGAGTCTTAAGACTTAAATATAAAGAGAAGAGACCCTTTCCAAATTAGATACACTACTGTATGATGAATTGCTTTCGCTTCTCAGGGCTTGAACACATTCATCAGTGATGTGTTCAGTGGAATAATAACAACCCCTGGACCCCATCAGTTGGCATGCTTCAGAGATGATGTGGTCTTCCTCATCTACCTCTATCAGCGCAGGTGGGGAAAACATACAGTTGGTGCATGTGGAACGGGATGAAGGAGTGAACGAGTCAATCCACTTGCAGAGTCATTTCTGTACAGTAATTCTAAGTAAAAATCTTAGTAATCTAGCTACATTTTCATAAGCATGACATTAGTTCAGTTCTTTTCCTGACAGTATCCACTTTTCCACTAACAAGTTATTTTTTTCCAGTAGGTTTCAGTAAAACACTTTCTCCTAAACTGTCCTTTATCTCTGAAGAATTAGGAAGATTCATTTTAGTTTGGATGGTTTAATTGAATGATTCACAGATTTCTTTTTAGTCCCTGCTGCTTTTTCCACTCTTATATTAAATATGTAGTTAAATGGTTCATCACTATGTTTTTCGTACTGCGTTACATAAATCACTTTTTGTATTTTACTACTTGTATTTAGGTTTTTAGGTTTCAGGTATATAGGTTTCAGATGAATACTTCAATACAGTTCACTACCATTCAAAAGTTTGGCATCAGTAATTGTTTTTAAGAAATTAGCAATACTTAAGAAATTGTTGTGCAAGGACACATCAAAAGGGACAGGTAAGACATTTATGATACAAATAAATGTTATTTTAACAAATGCTGTTCTGTTGAACTACATATTCATAAAAGAATACTGAAAAAATTATCACTGTTTGCACAAAAATATTAAGCAGCACAACTGTTTTCAAGATAATGAAAGAAATGTTCCCCATCTGTCTGGTGTCTAGGGGGTCGTAGTTGGGATCTCGACTCACTTTTCTGGCTAAAGAGAGAGTCACCTCAGCCACTCTCTGCGCTGGTCCTTCTGCAATGCACAAGGCCACAACGGCTAACACTGAGAGATACAGTATATGAGGCCAACAACGGGAGCATTTCCGTTGGGTCAATCCCCACGGGCCTCCCATTCCTCACCTTGCATGTTGCTCCCTGTGGAGTTCCCGGATGAGTTTGATGTTGCGTCACATGGCGCACCTGATTTCTCATTCAGGGCTCCAGATGACGATGAGCTGTCAATAGCAGCATCGGACGTGGAAGACTCGTCTGGGCTCCCACCCTCCGGTGCGGTGGCCCAGTCTGAGTGTGACTCTGAGTTGGCGGCCATGCTTGCTCAGGCCGTCGAGAGCATCGGGCTAGAGTGGAATCCTCTGTCCTGTCCTAACCGCTATCGGTTGGACTGGTATTTGGGCTCGGAGCACGGCTCACAGCTGTGCCCCGCCCCAGCACCTTTCTTTTCGGAAGTGCACGAGGAGCTCACAAAGTAATGGTAGGGACCTTTTACTGCCTGGTTCCGCTTTACGAGCTCTTCCACCCTCACTGCACTCAACGGTGGGGCAGCCAAGGGGTATACAGAGGTTCCACAGGTGGAGCGTGCAATTGCGATGCATTTATGCCCGCAAAATGCCACGACCTGGCGAAATTGTACCAGACTCCCTTTCTAGGGCCTTTAACTTCACTTTGTCTCTTACAGCGAAGGCTTGCGGTGCTGCTGGACAGGTCGCCTCCACCCTGCATGCCATCTTGCAGGTCCATCAGGCTAAACCTCTTAAAGAGCTGCACAAGGGTAGTTCTGAGCCGGGATTGATGCAGAAACTACGCTTAGCGACTGACTTCACTCTCAGAGCGACCAAAGTCTCGCCAGAGCCCACAGCCAGGCTGCAGCGTCGAGTTGCCCCCTGGAATGCGACACAGCCCACTCGTCAGGCGACCGACAAGAACATCAAGAAGGCTTTGAAGCGTCCCAGGGATGGCAGGATCTGCTTTTTCGCAGGAGGTAACAAATTCAATGCTCCTTCCCCCGGTAGTCCCTCCTACCACAGGGACTTCTTTCTGCGGGTGGGTAATTCCCATGAGGTAAGTTCATGTGGTGTATTCTCCACATATTAACCTCCCCTAGGGCAGGATGTGGTGTCTGTGTTCTTTCTTTCATCTGGGAGGAATAGCGCTTCCTCGGCAATCCGGTCTGAAAACAGCTGTGATTACTTTCCTAAAAAAAAAAGAGGGAAGAACTGAAAAGTTCATGGGAGTTCAGCTGGAGCAACCTATTCCAATTGTAAGTACTGTCCTTCGGTCCCAGAGTGGTATGAAGGACTACACGGCTTACGTGGAGTGTTGGGTAGGTTACGAGTGCACTTGTTACCCGGCACGCAGTAGCTTGCCATCATCTGCATCGCCAGAGCCTCGTAACTCACTTCAGCTGTTGTGACTCTTTCCATGGGGATCCCTAATGTTAGGCTCAGACACTACATTGAAGTGGCTGACAGATAGGGAACGTCTCGTTACTGTTTTAACCTCCGCTCCCTGATGGAGGGAACGAGACGTGGTGTCCCTCTTGCTACAACATTGAACTACCCACTGGATGGCCAGGACACACTCTCGGCTCCTCAGCACAAACCTGAATGAGTGGATCCACGCCAGCTCCTTTTATAACCGTATGTCCGGGGAGTGGCGCATGTAAATTCCACTCGCCAATTCTCATTGACCTTTTCTGAAGTATCAGAGGAATCCAAGTATGACCCCTAGTGTCAGTCTTCGACACCATGTCTCATTCCCTCCATCAGGGGACGGAGGTTACAACAGTAACAGAGACCTTTCTTAAACACCAAATCAGCATATTAGATGGATTGAAGGATCATGTGACACTGAAGGCGTGAGTAATGGCTGCTAAAAAATAGTTTTTTGAATAAATTACATTTTAAATATAATAAAATAGTAAACAGATATTTTTTATATTAGTAATAATATTTCACAACATTGACATTTTTACTGTATTTTTGATCAAATGAATGCAGACCCCAAACTTTTGAATGGTAGTAGGCCTATGTATGCATGTAAGCTTGAATATAGTTTACATTATGAGTAGCTTAACTTGATACAGTTACAGAGTAGTTTTCCAGTCTTTATTGAGGATACAGTTATTAGCCATATCTAACAAATGTTAATTTCACTGTCCTCAGGATTTATCCAGTGAGCAAGTCCAGGTCACGTGATTTCGGGGCGTCGCACAGGAAGAAACCCAAAGGAAAGCTACATGAAGACTAAGCGTCCGCGACGTTCTCTGACAGCTTGCGCTCTCCATGCATGCAATACAGGAGAAATGCTAGAGCACTGAAGAAGGGCATTACAGTCGTCGAAAGTTCTGTGTATTTTCTAAAGATCCTGCCTCCTGCTGTCTGCTGCAAAATCTACACCTAGGCTACTTGAACAAGCCAGAACTGATGAGAATAGCAGAGCACACCTGCTTTAGACTAAATCAGTGTGTACTATTTACTCAGGCCAATCCATCCAACAATTAAAAGGTGATGTAAGCTCTAAAAAAAACTACAGCAACACCCACCTGGGCTTTTACGTCCTTTGAAAGAATGACTGCAATGGCAAAAACCTGTGATTACTAAATCTTCACCACTGTTTTTAAAGGTCCAAAATAACACTCTCTAGTTGGTTTGAACAGAAATGTACATTCTACAGATTTTGAAACACATTGAGTTAGCTGCTTTGCAGTTTTTGTTTGTTTTGCATTTGAACCATAATTGCATACACAGAAGAACCTTTTTGACATGCTGTGCACTTCAACAGGAAATGAATCTGTTAAAAAAAGGTACTGACTTTTTCATTTTCTGAAATAGCAAGCTTCAGTACAGTATTTATTGCAAATGTTTAAAGAGTATCAGTCTGTCATGTGCATTATTTGGTCTTGTTTATTATTAAAAGTATCATTTTACATGAAAAAAGTCTATACATCTGTTTGACTATATCTAGGTTTCATCTGACTTTTAAAGAATGTTTTATTAAAGTTTGACAACAGAATTATTTTCTTCTGGGTTTTTCATCTTGTTGCCTTTACAAAAAAAGGAGATGATTTTATCTGTGTTGTGATAGTTTCAACCATTAGTGGAAGCAGTCCGACCTGTTTAGTCTGGACTCAGAAGGGAGGAAACATAACAGGGATATTTAAATAATAAACAAACCACTATTTACAGACTCGAGCTAGACTGTAAATGTGCCCTCATAATTATGATTGAATAAAAGTGCTACTGAATTTTTCACTAAAGTCAGTCTAGATTAGTCTATACGTCTCAGTCGTAAAGCCAAGAAGGATATGACATCATCCGTGACAAAGCTACATACAAAATGCTCTGTTTGTAAAATTCAAATAACAGTTGTCATGTAAGAATGCACAATGTGACACAAGGCCAGAAGAATGAGGGAATGCCAGCTGTGCTGGTGTGTGGCTTCTTTCACTTGTTCTTTCTAAAGGACAAGTGAAAGAATGTCTGCATGGGTGGATCTTTGAGGAGACAGTGAGTTTCAGTCAGAAGCAGAAACACCCAGTGAACTTCTCCCACACATGCAGTCAGTGTTTCAGCAACATGGAGACTGTTTCTAGTCTGCTCTTTTTACTTCTAACTGTACACTCAGGTATGGCTTCTCATTCACTTGCTTGAATTGCATTTTGGATTGTCAATCTGCTTTCATGGTTAATGTTTTGTTCTGTTAATATCTGTCTAATTTTGTGGTTGAATGAAAATCCATGTGCTATTTCTAAACAGTGCTAAGAATTAATGTATGGTTAAAAAAAAGGATTGATATTAATATTATATACCGCTCAAAAGTTTGGAGTCTGTAGAATTTTTAATGTTGTTTTTAAAGGAATGTTATATGTTCACTAAAAGCTGCATTTAATTGATTAAAAATACAGTAAAAACAGTATTGTGTACAGTATTACTATATTAATAATTTTATTACAACAGTAATAATGTTATAACTGTTTTCTATTTTAATATATTTTAAAGTTTTATTTATTCCTGTGATGGCAAAGCTGGATTTTCAGCATCATTAATCCAGTCTTCAGTGTCACATGATCCTTCAGAAATCATTATAAAATGGAAACTGTGGAAACTATATTTTTTTCAGGATTTTTTTAGTAATAGAATGTTCAAAAGAACAGTTTTTTTTATCGTCCTTGCTGAATGAAAGTATTAATCTCTTTCAAAAAAAAAAAAAAAAAAAGTGAAACAAATCAAAACAAAGTGACCCCAAACTTTTAAACGGTACAATATATTCTCCTGGGTTATGGCCTACTTTCTAAACTGGGGTTCTAACCCTTTCCATGATTATGTAAGTGACTGTTAATATTTTGCCTGCCTAACCTGTAATGTGTATTGTGTAAACAACATTTTCCAGCACTAACAGTTTGAAAGGTGGTTGAAATAGTTGAAATAGTGTTCTCTATTGTGAATTTCAACTGTTAGATTAGATTGCATAATAAAAATGACAATTCAATTCAATATTGATAACATAAATTCATGTATTTCTTTAAGAGCAGCCTTTTTTTGTGTGTGTTGCTCTTTTGCAGTAAGTGCGCTTAAGTGTTACGTGTGTGGCTCCGTAACATCAAATCAAGAATGTAACAAAAACTTTCAGGACTGCCAGGCTCCTCTGGACACCTGCATGACCACTGTAGGCACACTAGGTGAGCACATGCCCTCGACATTACAGCAGATCACTGTGGGGAGGATTATCAATGTACACGCAAAACTCAAAGGGAAAACTTCTCCGTTTTAAGCATCGTTGTCATGTAAACGTACCCTAGAAGTCCATGAAAATGAAACCAAGATCAGACACTCACAAAACATGTTGCCAAACTTCTACTTCCCGACTAAGGTCTGTAATCATCAGGGTTGTATGGCTCATATTATGACTTAAAGGAGCTCACTTGAGGAGGCCCAAACATGAGCAAAAATATGCAATTTGTTGCAGTTGCTAACAAAAACAGTAAGATGAAATTCTGATAGCTTGTAATGTAGCCTAAATCGATATCTTTATAACAATAGCCTATAGCACTTGCATAAAATAACCTACATTTAATAATCCGTTGTCACTCTATCCACCTTTTCCCCTGCCGAGCCTACTGTGAGAAGAGAAACGACAAGAAGGAAAACAAAACATTTACCGCCACGTCAAAGAGATATGAAGCAAACAGGAAGAGGCACTTCCGATCTGGGGAACATCAACCCAAAAACACTGAAACCAATCGTTCTCTTACGAGAGGTTCTCTCGTATTGCGTAAGCTAGCTTCAGATCGGAAGTGCCTCTTCCTGTTTGCTTCATATCTCTTTGACGTGGCGGTAAATGTTTTGTTTTCCTTCTTGTCGTTTCTCTTCTCACAGTAGGCTCGGCAGGGGAAAAGGTGGATAGAGTGATAACGGATTATTAAATGTAGGTTATTTTATGCAAGTGCTATAGGCTATTGTTATAAAGATATCGATTTAGGCTACATTACAAGCTATCAGAATTTCGGGAAAGATTCATCTTTTCTGAGAAATTGAAGCCAATAAAATTATCCTATAATACGGTTTATTGCTGTAAAATTATATAAGATTAAAAGTCTGTAAAACCTAAAATGTTGCTACCGTATTTTTTACAGGAAAACTCTGGTAACCACAGCTGCCAGGTTTTCCCCGTAAATTTAACAGATTTTTTTTTTTTTTTTTTTTACAGTAGGCTACTGTGCATTTGTGGTCTGCTCTTCCGATTTAATTTACAATATCCCATGAATAAGTTATTGTTATTGTTTACTTTATAAAAATCATTAAAGATTTCATAGTATCATGACCTGAAGTTTTAGAATTAGGCTATACTAAGAGGCCTTTTACTTGCTAAAAAACAAACAAAAAAAATTGCATAAATGAGCTTCCAAAACATTGAGGCAAGAACAGATTTCAAGAGGTCAGAAGTTCTGATACACAAAAAGCTGGATGCTTTTTTTTTAGTCATAAAAAAAACCAAACTATTCAACACGGTAGAGGGCAAACTTGATAAACTTTGTATTTGTCTTTTTAGGAAGTGTTACTGCCATTGTGAAGACATGCTCCTATTCAAAAATCTGCACAAGTGCTGCTGCATCTGCCTCTGTGGACAGTAATGGAGATGGAGTGCAGGTGACATGCTGTAACAGTTACCTGTGTAACTACAGTGGAGCCGCCAGCGTTACACTGCACAGGTGGCTGATGGTCCTACCTCTGATCCTCATCACTCTCCTCTTCAGACAGAACACTTGAAATGTGAAACACTCAGGGTATTGATGGATTAAATCCCATCATGGACTAAAACGGTCTTCATACTGAAAATCCAACCTTGTAACTACTGAACTGAGCTATCTAGAAAATGTCAATTCCCCTGCTTCATTAGCCTACTTGTTAGGTAAGGCCTTTTTGTTGAAAATAAGGATGCCAGTTCATTAACCTATCATGTATTCCAGACAGCTGATCATATTTAAGTAATTGTTTATGAAAACGTATGAAGGATTTTAAAGTTGGCAGGCCTGTGTATAATGAAATGTTAACATAATTCAGGCCCTAGATTTATGGATATAGGGGTTTCAAACCCTTTTTGCTCAAATGAAAAACTGCGGTTCTAATAAATAAAATTATACAATATTCTAATTGTTTTATATTAATTAATAGTAACAAATTAACCTTCAATAGTTACTTTTAAATGTTAATGATACACTATGGAACTGTAAATAAAACTCAATGCATTTTGCGAATAACTTTGTTTTGTTGTCCTACTGCTCATAAAATGTTCGAGTAGCCTAATGGGTGTGACGAAAGTTTGATTCGTGCAGAAGGATAGGGCGTGGAGAGAACATTATTAATTGGTCTTGAAAGCGGTCTGTCAGGGTGTAGGGCAGTGTTAGGGTTAGTTTGTTTTGTAGAAATTCACCTCTCGGCACACCCATTACTCCAACCTGCAGCTATCCGTGTCTCAGTTTAGATGGATGATCTCAAACTGACTAGCTGAAGACGCAACAGAAATTATAAAATGACCCTAGATAATCCTTTACAATGAACTCTGTTAGAGCTACTATGGCAATTTACCTGTTCAATACAATACCTTACTCACTGGTTGAGTAATAAAAAGGTAGCCTGGTAATACCAGACTCTGCTACTTCACTTTGCTTCGTACACAGAGTCTGGGATAGCATAATAGAGAAGTGTTTTCTCTCTCGCTAGGGGGCGCGTACTGAAGTTTAAATCATTGGTTACCCGTAAGCCAATCAGATAAGTTTGTTTATGACGTATGTTATGCGCCGACACAGCCATCGAACCACAGACATCATGCATCGAACTTCCACTGTAAACACTTGATGATGCGAGCGACATGGCTGTAAACGACTTTTGTGATCTGTGAGTGATGTAATAGAATGACTGCTGCGCTTGACAGGGCACAAACGAGCAGAGAGAGAGAGAGAGAGAGAGAGAGAGAGAGAGAGAGAGGAGAGAGAGAGAGAGGAGAGAGAGAGAGAGAGAGAGAGAGAGAGAGAGAGAGATGAGAGAGAGAGAGAGAGAGAGAGAGAGAGATGAGAGAGAGAGAGAGAGAGAGAGAGAGAGAGGAGATAGATAGAGAGATAGAGAGATAGATAGATAGATAGATAGATAGATAGATAGATAGATAGATAGATAGAGAGAGAGAGAGAGAGAGAGCCGCCGCGCGCGCGCACTCCCACGTCTACAAACAACACGAGCGCTGTCTTGCTCTCTCTCCATACTCGCGCATATTCATAAAAATCAATCGACAAGATAGTAAGAGGTCGGAAGACCGCGGTTTCACGTGGAGCATTTGGAGATTTTTAGAGATTATAGACTCTAGGAACAACATCTCAATGAACAACATCTCAACTATAAAGGCCTGTCTCATATAAGTTAGACGCCTATCTCAAGTACAAGCCGGTGCAGTTCGACGATTTGGGCAAATAAAAGCCCGGGCTATTATTTGAAGTTTTACGGTATTTAAGACCTGGAAAAGAAAAGAGACACTGACCTGTCAAAAGGCTCCCCAGTTTCTCGCTGACGATCGGTAATAGTTGATAAATTAGACTTTTCCCAAAGGGAGTAGGGCCACAACATCACCTCCATTCAAAATGTTTAATACACACTCTTCGTGTTCGGGCTTCAGTTTGCTAATGCCGGGAATATTCTCCACAACAGAGCGAATTGCATCCGCGTCTCCATATCAGCGGTCGTTTTCGATTTCCCTGACCTAATCTTAAACACGGCGCTTACCGACTACGTCACGCTTTCAGCCCACCCTCTGTTCGTTGATTGGCCAGGCTGTTTTCAGGCCGGTGGAAAACAGAAAGATAGGCTGCTATCTCAGACTGACTACAGGAGCGAAATGAAATTAGCGGAAGTAGGAAGTCTGACGTAGTCCAGGCTAATAAAAAGGTCGCTTTTTACAACATTTCGAATCCCTTTTTTGGATCAGGGCAAGTCAAAAACCCGTTTTGGAAGAATCAGTGATGTACTGACTCATTTAAATGTTAATTTTGAAGAAAAAAAGCTGTAGAGTGCCTAACCCTAAACACAACCTTTTCATTATGAAGCAAAAAAAATAATTAAATAGTAAAAAGGTAGGATACACATTAGTGGAAGACAATTCACCAATAAATAAAATTATTTTTTTATTCATCAAGAACTGATTTAAAATAAATACCTACGACAGACAAAAAGAAAACAAAAAAACAACGATTTTTGTGCTGAACAGAGCATTATGCAATCTTCAACTAATGGTGATTCAAATCTCTCCTTTAAAATATTTGTCCAGCCTCATTATGTGTTAACACTTCTATCTACAGGTGAGCTCATGTTAACAGTTACACAAAATTAAACAAATCCTAACAACAAGGTAGAAAACTGATACAGACGTTACATCAGTGATACGAAGGTGATAAACTGTGGCAAATGCATACAAATGATGACAAAAGTTGAGTAGTGATGCTGGATATATAATATCCATATTGCATGGTGCTTAATTCCAAAGAAAGTATAAGATAGTTGACAACTAGAAAAACTAAGGGTGGGGGAAAACACAAAGCTTGACATTCTTTTGCAAAGCATTTAGAAGAAAAAGGTTCAAGTATTTCTCTTCATTATTAGCTTCACCTTGCAGTGGCCTCTGCTGGCGGTGAGCGGTATGTTGAGCAGGTCTTTATGGAAAGGCTTCTCCATTGAGCTCTATGGCCAGTTTAGCGTCTGTGCCCGTCTGTACGAGTAGCGTGCCGAAAAACTGGCCCGCAGCGGCCGGCACGAACTGCACAGGGAGGTTGATGTAGTGTTGTGATCTAGAAAGCCACATGGAAAAAATGTTCAAATGCTTGAAAACATGCAGGTATAATAGCACACATAACTAGCTTGTGATGTTACTGAGAAACCCCCCCCCCCCCCCCCCCCAAAACTAAATGTTGAACATGAATTCCACATTAATAAAAAAAAAAACACACATTTAGTACACAATCACATGCATACAGTGCTACAAACTCAAATTAAAAATGATTTATTTAACACCACACACATTTAGTACACATACATAAATCACATGCATACAGTGCTACAAAGAAAATAATAAAAAACTCTAGCCGACCTGTGGCAGAGCTCAGAATCAGAGCCTTCACATCAGGCATTGGCAGCAGGAAGTGACATTGAATGCTTCAATATAATCTCTACTTGCTATCATTTCTTAAATTGACTTGAGCAAACAGTAAGACTTAATACTACTAGAGAATAAGCGAGAGGAAATGTAACTCACCTTAGAGAATAATCTGAATGCTTGATGTGGAAAGGCTCTTTAGGACTTATGAATTTTAGCTGCAAGTTAATTAGAAAAGCTCAAAATAAGTCTCATGCCAGACATTTAGGAGCAGCAATAATAACACTGCACACATCAACATGCAATATGACTGAAGTTGTTAGGACTTGAATGTATTTTATATGTAAATAATTGCTCTGTGAATTCTTAAATGTATTTTTCCTCATAGAAACAGAACTTAAAACAACTGTGAGGTGTCTGTATTGATTAGTTATTGGCGCTTTAATGACCTTCAAAAGAAGTATCATGACATTCCTAGTGTTCTCACCTCATGTGTGTCGAAAGAGTTATTTCTGAAGTTAACCTTCAGCGTGCTGGTGACGCCCACACGTGTGGCAGGAAATGTGTACAGACTTTGGGGTGCATACACTCCCCTCTTTTGGGTCTCAGTTGAAGATCTGAATGAATTAAAGAAACAGCAAAATATGCCCTATGAAATGTTTGAGGAGAAAGATTAATCTTTCTCTATAGATCAGATTTAGATTAGCTGCAGATTGTAGAGTTGAGTTCTGCATGTTAATAAGACAGACGCTCGGTAGTACTTCAGTGTGAAAAAGACTCTTACCCGGTCTTTGAGCCTGCAGACTCCAGTCTCTTCCTGTTCTTCACAATGGCTTCCGTTTTCACCAACGAGCAATTTTCTTTAACACTCGCTCCTTCTCCTGCTCTTATGCCCTGCACACACAAATTAATACACTCAAAAACTGTGAAAGACTGCCATTCCCAATTAGATTACCGCACATGTATTACTTATTGATTCTCTCTGATTAATGCATGACTGAAACAACTCTTTCAGCTAACAATGGGAGTTGCATTAGGTTAGTATGGTTATAAAAGAGAAACTACAGAACACTGGATTCAAGAGACTTACAGAGCCGCACAGCTGGAAGCGAACGCGGCTCTTGTGCTGAGGTTTGGCTGCGGGGTGGCATTCCAAATCCCAAAACTGGGCATAATCTCCTCGGTCACGTGGGAGGAAAGTGATTGGAACCTTTTAACAAAACACCACCAAAAAAGGGTTAAATCAGATTAAATTGCATTAGAGCTGTTAGAGACAAGATGATGTTTTGACACACAGCCCTACCTTCATCCTCTCTTGAATCCCCAGGGTCCCAGATACCTTCTCACACCTGAAGGCAGAGTATGTGGCACGGTAAACATCTCCACTGCTATCAACACCCTGAACCAAGAGACAACAGCAAAGTCGAAATCAATAAATCCCTCAGGAATGAAAGGTTTCAAAATTCTTACACAAGTGCCAACAAATCACACACCTTCACATATGGAGGTGCAAATGACGAGAGGTACCACCTCACCTCCTCTCCATGATTCTCCACCTCCAGGGAACATTCTGTACAAAGGAAAGCAGCTTTCCTTACACACTTTTAAAGTAACAACAGGTAGTTTTTTGCTCTCGGGCTCCCCCTACAGTTGGGAAACAGTATTGTCCTCTACTACTGTCGTAAACTCTGTCATCCTACATGCACGTGCAATTGTTGACAACCAGGATAGCCCTGAACACTGTAGGAGGAGGTCACATGCAGGTGTTCTGCTTGCGTCGCGTGTGAAATGTCTTCATCCCAGGTACAGTGGC